AGCAGTGAGTTTAAAAACAGGATGATGGAACCAGTTTAATGAAGAATCTGTCTCTGAAATAATTATTAAATCAAGTGTTTATTTATGTGGGGAAAATTATGTTTAATAACCTGTTAAAATACACCAGAATGCAGGAAATGGCATCTAKTTTATTCAAAATTTTCTGGGGGAGGACCCCCAGACCCCCCAACAGTGTGTCCGCCACTTTTAAAATGGTTCTGACACTCATGTTTATAAGGTATTTACTGCCTGAATAGGGACATAAGGAAATGACCAAAACACAAAGATCTGCAGAAAAACTTTTAAGTAACAAAAATGATGTGATTTTCCTGGCCACCCCTGTGTGAGCAGTGGTCCCCTGAGAAAAATGTCTGGCTCCGCCCCTGGACAAGAGCCAAAAAATCTGGATGAAGGATGAAGAAAAAAAAAGATGCAAAAATTAAATTAAGTTTGGCGGTGATAAAGAGAAATTAGATTTAAGAGATAGTTTTAGAGATCAGATTTGTAGTATAGTGAGATAAGCTCTAAGTTTATTCAGTTTCAAAATGAGTCAAAAACAATGAGGTATGAAGCTGCAGCTGGTGAGTTGGAGGTGAAGCTGAGGACGGCCTGAGTTGCAGACAGATGGACCGAGCTGCAGTCAGAACCATTGCAGAGAGAGGAGGGAGGTTCAGAGGCAGAGATGGGGACAGGAACAAACAGTMTGAGACAAAGTGAGGACTTTGTTAAGGAAGTAAAAGCTCCATTATTGGGATTAAGAGGAAAGAGAAGAGGAGCACCAAGCRGACTGACCGGGGAAACCCCCATCACTCCACCTGGTGGCTTTAATCGTATTAATCGCCAAGAGCCAAAAATAATCCATTAAAGTTTTTCTCACCATTAATTGCACACAATATGATTTTGCCCAACCCTACTGTACACAGGCACAAATACAATATTACAGAGACCACTGCTGGTTCTGTGATCTGTTGAAAGTGAGGGGAAGAAACGTTTGAGATCTTCATTGCATGAGCTATTTTCATTTTTAATCAAACACATTATTTTGTTTGTACTCATTAGTGTTTTATTTTGTTTCAGTATCTTCTCTGCATTTGTTGAGCATAAAGCATGGGCTCAGAAAACAGAAAACTCATGTCGCTGCACTTGTTTGAGACAATTAATACAGTATCTTGATTGAAAAACATGACTTATTTCATTTTTAGCAGAAGAAAAGAGAGTTGTGCTTAGGTTAGACCTGTAAAAAAAACAAGACAACGTTGGTCACATAAGTAGTAAAGAGTTTTTTGTATAAAAGGGCTTTTTGTCACCAATAAGAAATGACACCAACCAATCATTCATTTAAATGGTGACAATTTCATGACTTTTTTGTGTTACATGCAACTCAGATCAGTCCACATGTGTTGTTAAATACACTGGGAAAATCAAAAGTGTCTGATTTGAAATGTATTTAATTTCTGTTTATGAATGAGTCGTATATTGTATGTTTGTGCACATTATCCATGTATCATTTGTCAACACATGATCATAATCTGTACACATTTGCACAAAGTACTYGGTGTCTGTACATATGCAGTTATGTTGTCACATATAATTTGTTTTTATACATGGGCATGTCAGATTTTGCCAGAAAACAATGGAGAAGATTTTATCTGATGGACTTAAAGTGTGTCTGCTGGACAAGTGTGAGATCTACTATTTTATTCCTCCTGTTTTTCCCCAATATGAAATAAATAAATAAATAAATGTCCATCCAGACAACTGCAGATCTTAATACATACATATATTAACATGTATTTAAGATGGGTTCATGTTAAACATTATTTGTGTTCACAACATCTGGTAATCAAAATATATTGCTGTCTTATGTTTTTGCAGTGTTTAAAAATATCTCAGATCAAAAACTCAGAGGTCTACTTTCTTATTGCTTTTTTGTGTTTTTCAAAAAATTTACAGGAGTATCACAAATATTTATTATTTCAAAACATCAKTATCAGTAGGGGGCAGCTGTGGTAGAGTGATAGGGGAGTCGTTCCTCTAATGCAAGAGTTGGTGGTTTGATTCCCTGCTATTCCGTCACATGTCAGAGTGTCCCTGGGCAAGACACTGACYCCCACTGCCTCTGATGTGTGTCCCATCAGTGTRTGAATGTGGCTTAAAGAMCTGATTAGATTGATTTACCTGTATTATCTTTGTAGTGTGCTCTAATAGAGCACTGTGTAAACACAGCGGGTAAAATAAGTATTGAACACGTCACCATTTTTCTCAGTAAATATATTACTAGAGGTGCTAATG